TTTAGTTTTGATGCAAAAACGCATGATCGCACCGGCTCGCCTGGTGCGTTCCAGCCTTTGTTAAGTATCGCAGTAGGAAGTAACATTCTTGTCGTACTACTGCCAAGTCGAACATTCGATTTCGTTGATGGGATGGCTGCCCAGTCGGTTTCTCAAATCTTCGTTCGCTCATTTCAGCGGTAAACTGGCACTAGCATGTGCCAAGGACCGAAATTCGTCACTAGCTTGCTCGTAAGTAACCCTTCAAAAAGGGGCGATCAACACTTTTGTCAGTGATGGTTGCTGCTTGCGTTTGCTACCAGTAGGTCTATTTCCGAGTGTCTCTACCTCTCACAGAGAGTGAATATGGAAGAGGTTTTGATTTTGATGTCAAATATTCAAATTAGATAAACAAGCGATATCACTAGAAATTTTGTTCGGAAAATTACATAAGGAAGAATTAGAAATGAAGAGTTTATGCGATGATTTTACCATGCTACCAACCGATCTAATTCACGAGATTTTGCCGGCTGCTAGTAGAATAAGCATCAGGAATCTCTTGCTGCATGCTTGCGGATAAATTTACCTTGTTTTGCTGTACACAGAAGTAATTTTACAACATGCTAATAATTAGAAGCCATTAACTTAATTGAGAAAAAGAAAGCGTTAGTTCCACACTTTTCAAAATAAACAGATTAATGGTGTTGATTACGAATGTGAACCATTATCATTATGAACGGTTTTATAATGGCTTTTCATTTTTTTCTAAGAAACTTCTAATTGATTACAAACTAAAGTTTATTCTCCACCATGCAAAATTTATGATTGGCCTGACCTATTGAAAAAACCGGCTACAAGTTCAAGAGAAGTAACAGAGTTCATACAACTGCAGTGCAGCATTACGAAATATTTCTGATAATAAATTCACGAAATAAGCAAGGTGAATACAATTTCATCAGCAATCTATTCACATAAAACGCTAATTATGAGTTTCCAAAGTCTTTAGTGCGCAGTCATTTCCTACTTCTTTCTGCCCCTTTTATTATTATTTAAATTTATTCTCATTCATCCTTCTTAAAGTTGTAACATATTTTATATACATTTTATCTTATTACACTTTGTTTTGCTAACACCACAACCGTCGTACTGGCATTGCCCGGTTGTGGTGCTGAATAAAAATTGCTAGGACTTGCTGGACCAAAACATTCCTGTTCATCCAAATTTTTAATATGATTCTATACATATATATTTTTATGTATATCATATTAATATCTCTGTTAAGTTAATTGCAGCCAGAGTCAAAGTTAAAGGTTGAAATTCCCTCTATATTCTATCTCTTTGAGAGATGAAAGTTTTCCGCAGCTTTATAGCTGCCCAATTCGAATGCGCAAGAACGTGTCCAGGGGTTTTTTTTTACTTATTGTCACTCCTCCACACAAATGTATGTGTCTATTTCCTGGAGTTGCGCGAATATTAGTTGCGAAAAGTACAAACTTCATTTTTCAGGCAACCGCGTGACCTGCAGTCTTCAGTCCCATAATATTTTGGGGTGTTTCAGAAGAACACGAGAAACTGTCGCACTAAAGAAAATTTTTGATGCCTTCCGGAATCAAACGGACGCACAACGAACATTTCGTGAAATAATGTTTTTACAAGAATTCGGCCGACATCCAAACATTATTAAGCTGTACAACATACTGAAAGCTGATAATGACAGGTTCTTGTTTAGCGTCTGTTGTTTTCTCAATTTTCAGCACTACTAAAAGTCCCGCATCCAAAATCGTTCAAGTGAAATGAAAATATTGTAAAAACATATGCAATTATCGTGCTCTTTTGTGATTACTAGATATTAATCATAATAGATAGCCTGCTTTTGTTTACAAAGATCGCTTTGTAA